CTCATCCATCATTGAGTCTTGTCCAAAGTCCATCAACAACAAGGTCTAAAGGGGAGTGAATTGGTTTTAATTCACAACAGGGAGGAGGTGCCATTGGATTTGGTGATGAAAATCTCAGCTTAACTCATCAAGTGCTTGTGGCAAAAACTGTTGGTTTTGCAAGGCATTGTAAACATGTTTGAGTTGAAATTAGTCCCACATTGGAAAAATAGAGTTCTTTGGAGGTTTTATAAGACTTAATCTTTGAAATAAAATAGTTTAGGCCAAAAACTTACTTTTTGATGCTAAAGTTTATATAAAATTATTTGTATTTTTCATTTTATGGACTGTATGGCCTACATTATCTCTCTTATTAGGGGTGCGCACAATTTCGGGTCAACAGTAAACTGAATCGTCCAATCTGATCATAAATTTGTGGGTTTTGGGTTTGAAAAATTATAAATTTATAGGAATTGGGTTATGGATTGGAATTAAAAGTTGAAAATTGGCACTGTTAATTTTGCCACAGAATTCTCATAGGTTTAATATTTGCTTTTCCAAATACCATGATCTTTTTGGGATTTCACTGATTCGTGGCTCTTTGTGTTTTTTCTGGTTAGTGTAGGAAATTTCTCTTTCTGGAGTCAGATTCCAGAGCTGTTGAAGGGAAATTCGTAGTCGAGCAACCGATGTTCATGATAAGGAAACGGGAATCAAGATTACCAAGAAGGATTGGGAAAAGTTGAATGTACAATTGCTTCATACAACAATTTTCCTACTGCTGCTGGATTGGCTTCCTCAGCAGCTGGTTTTGCTTGTCTTGGTAACGGATAATACCCTATTTTAGATCATATTATTGTTAATTTGTTATATGATTAGTGCCTTAACTTTGAGAACTCATGACTGTGTTAATTATGTTACTTGGGTATTGGATTAATCATTCTTTGCCAATAGATAGTAGTTAAGCAATGAGCATATCATAGCTAAGCCTCTGTTTCTACTTGCAGTTTTTGCCCTCGCAAAGTTAATGAATGCGAATGAAGATCACAGCCAGCTTTCTGCTATTGCAAAAAATCTGAGATTTTAATAAGCCATCGCAATCTAACTACGTTTTACAGAATACTTAACACAATAGTGAGTGCTGATATCGACCCTGAAGAACATCTCCTTGACAGTAGCTTAATTGATTTTGATAGAGCAAGCCTCCTTTATGCCATTGGGAATAATAATGTCATTGATCTGCCCCCCTACATTTTCCGAGGCATCTGTCTGGCTGCAACCCCAGACGACTACTACAAAACTCATTCCCGGCCTTTTGGATCGTTGATCTCTAGGTTTGCCATGGCGTCTAAAGTGCAAATTGATCCTACGGATCAGCTTAAACAACCTATGCCACTCCCTTAGGAAAATGGCGAGGGCCAGGGTCCCCCTTGAGGGACTCCAGGCGTAGGAAATTGGCAACGGCCAGGGTCCCCCTTAAAGGACTCCGGGCGTGTTCTGCGCATCCTGTAAGATGTTTTCCCTTAGGAAATTGGCGAGGGCCAGAGTTCCATTAAGTCTTGTTTGTTGCTTCATCCACTTCATGTTTTTCTTTCTTACTCTTTTATGTGTGGTGGGTATGAACATAGCCAATGAACCTCAAAGTCTAGCTACAAAGAGATAAACACACAAAATAATATCAAATTAAATAAAATTAGTTACTAACAAATATAATGTAGGGATAATAAATGTGATAATTATGTACTCATCATCTACGCCCTGAGATGTGTTGATGAGTGTGGCCTGTTTGGCCTACGTCCGGAGACATGTCGATGAGTGTGGCCCGTTTGGCCTACGTCCGGAGACGTGTCGATGAGAGTGGCCCGTTTGGCCTACGTCTGGAGACGTGTCCTTGGCTTGGCTTGACGTGCGGCATGGGGGCTGGGCTTTTTGGAGTTTTGGCATAATTTGGAGCTGGGCATCGGCAAGGAGAGAGTGGTGTGGCAATCTATGGAGTTGGGCCTCTAGAAGGATCCGTTTGGCTAGGGTTTTCTGCCTTGGCAAGGAGAGAGTGTCGTTTGGCAAGACTTGCGAAGGAGAAGATTATTGAAGACTAGTCCATTTTCAGCACAATTGCCGATCGGTAAGGATTTTGAGAAGAGGAGTTCTGTGTTGTGTACCTTAGGCAAGGTTCTCGTGTTGAAGATTCGGGTCGAAGCTTGGGTAAGCTTCCGCGTGCCTCCTTGGCTTCATAACCGTGGTCCTTGTGCATCCTTTCATTGCTTCGAGAGGTGGGTCTTTGGCAATAGGGCTATTCATTCGGCAAGGGAAAGAAGGGATTGTGCGTCACTCCACTCTTCCGACCTCGGCACCGCAATCCTCACGGCTTCGGCAAAGAGTTTCGGCAAGGGATTTGGGAGGAGCTTCGTGCTGTCACGGCATGATCTTGAGCCGACCTTCATGTGCTATAGCTTTAGAACATCCCTGATTTTCAGCTCATGAGCACCTCCCTTGTCTTTGCACAGCCCTTGCCGTTCGGCAAGGGTGCTCGGGAAATTTTTTTGGAGTGTCCTTTAGCAAGGTCACGAGGCTCGGTAGGGATTTTTTCATGAGCTTGTGAAGTCTTCGAGGTGAAAAAGAAGGGGGGCGAGTCTCCGTAGCTGCTGTACAGCCCTTTCCGTTCGGCAAGGGTGGCTTGAGAACATTTTGGAGGCCTCCTTTTAGTGAGGTGGGTGTGTAAAGTAATCTTGGAGTCTCTGGTATGAGTGTCCTTTGCTATGTGCCATAGTGCAGATGATGGTCCTTGAGCTTAATGAAGTCTGCTGCGTAGGATTTGGCGTGAGTGCCTCTCGGCAACTTGTGTACGCGGCAAAGTTGAATTAGATGCTGAATCTTGTCTCTTTATTCTTGTTTTGTAGAGGAGGTTCCGTGGGGGATGTGCCAGGTTTGTTTCAGAAGCTTGGTGGAAATCCGAAATGTGTGGATTTTATTTTATTATTATTATTTTTTTTGGGAGTGTAGTTCTTTGGGAACATGGCATCCCTTTGACTCAAATAGCTGGCATCCTTGGAGTGTAGTTCTTTTTCTTTTTTTTCTTTTTTTTTCGGGGGGAATAGTTGCAGACTGATCGGTTCATAATTGTATATCATTTTGTACCCTTCTAGCTTATGATTTGGTTATGTTATTGAGTTAAACTTGTGCT